GTAATTTGAGTTCCCAATTCATATAAAACTATAGACTTTAGTATTTTGACATTACAAACATCTAATTTGAACCAGTGTTGCATTCAACATACCACGTGAGACACAAAAATCGATGTTTATATGTGTTTTTTTAATATTTACTTTTAAATTAAGAAATATGAGTAATATATAGTACTAAAATTTGAATTATATCCTACAGTTTGAAACCAAAGTTATTGATATATATTCATGATATAGTAGTTCAATAAAATTTTGAATGCGAGTCAACAAACAAGATGACATGGCTTTTAACCCATGACCCCTCTGGAAAGGGTTAATCTGAATATGTTGACTTGGAAATTAGCTTATTATTGACTAGTCTTAATATCACTGTGATAACTTGGGACTTGGCTTATTCTCGGTATAATGAATTGTAACTCAACATAGCCCTCTAACATCAGGTAGGGTCCAAGGATGTTCTTTTTTTTTAATTGAAATATTCAATTTATAAAAGGAAATGTTACTACTAATATAACTTATCTGGCTTTTTAACTGAGCTAGAAGTTGGTCAAATAATTTACATATGTGGTCAATCAGAGTTTCAGTACTGGCAAACAAAGAAAAGGATGCCAAAACCTTAAACCGGTTATCCCAAAGGCTGGTAGGTCAATATTTGACATTTTTGAATGACAGGATGTACAAGGAAGAGCATGTGGGTTTGACTCTGTAGTTTATATTATCATTAAGTAAAGATTAGAGACTTTAAGTTTACATTCTAATTTGAGGATATTTAACATATAAGTTGTAGTTCCTTTAAATCATATGAAATAGTATGAAGATGGAAAAAAATCTAAAATGGTCATTCCAAAACATATTTACCTCTGCTGACACTATAGTTATTTCTCAGTCTCCGGGGTTTCCACAATCTGCCCATCTAAGCAATGAAAATGATTGTTCTAGTCTTTTATACCCCACTCGAATGCCCTTGGCGAATTCTAATTTGCAAAATTCTCCACCAACTGCAATGCACCCTCTATCTAGGTACTGTATATAAGCACCTCATTCAGATAATGTAATCACATTTTTTTGACAAAGCGTTCGGCACTGGTTTTTATACACAGGAGTGTTGTGATTATTCACAATTTACGTTGAGACTTGAAATGTGGTTTGCATTACTACAGCTATATCTTTGTATATTTATAAATTACTTTAATAATAATTATATTAATAAAAAAAAAGCATGTACCGACGAGTATGAATTCTCAAATTAGTGTTTCTATTACGGAGGCCATTATTCTATTACGCGACCTCTCCTTTTCCACCTCTGTTATCTTGTATTTGTCAATGACCAGGAGAGGGATCATTCTCAATTGGGGCTGTCTGTGATATGATACATTGTGAGATGGACACACATATGCGGATTAGGGGTTCTGAGGTGGCTTTTGCAAATGACCCTGACCAGCTGGGAAGAATTTAGATTCGTTTTTACTGGCTCCTTCTTTTACTAGGTCAGCCTCAACAGAGGATAATTTTGATCAGCCACCTCCAGCCCCTTTTCTTCAGTTGGCTACTCGGGTTTGTGAGGTTTTGGGGGTCTCTCCTATTGCATTTGACTCTTCCCCTTCCTTGTTGGCAACAAGGACAGCAAGTGACTACGTGGTTTTCCTCCTTCTCCTGATATTGCTGTTCGTGCTGGGAAATTTGTCAGTCAGTTATGTGACGGGATAGCTATGCCTTGTTTCCCACGTTTATTGGAACAACATGCTTTGGCTTATTGCATCCAGGAGGAGGTATATTTTGATTCTCGACAAATGGACCCCCTTTTGTACATGTGGGGGTCTTGATTGGAACCCGTGATAACTTTAAACAGATCACAGTTTTCTTGGATTCATCTTAATCATATGACTGTCATGAGGTACTTATCTTCGATCCAACTTTTGTTGGAAGCCTATCAATGTTTCCTTCGGCAAGTTGTGGACGAGTTTGGGATTTTGCTGATGTCTACCTCAGTCAGATTGTCTTCTTCGGTTCTTTCTCTGGTTTCCTGGCTGATTTGTTGTTGGGATTTATTTGGTAGAGATTCTTTGTTAAAAAGTGTTCATTTACTGTCTTCTGCTCTCAGGGAGTTATGGGAAGCTCCTTTTTTTTCCATCCCATGTTGTTTGTTGGAGTTCCAGAGATGTTAGAAACAGTATTTGATTCAGTTTGTTTACATTATTCTTTATTGTTGTTGAATTTTTGTTGGGAGTGTTGGCTCTCAGTTTTCTCAACCCCCTCCTTTGGTTCCTAGGTCTGTTGGTTCCCATAATAGAATCCATCTGTATTCTCCAGGATTTTCGGCTCGGACAGATCATCACCAACAGTGTCGGTATCTATCCTGTGGGTTTGGGGAGCAGTGGGACCACCTTTATATCATTTTCTGGACATATGGAGTTCTTTCACCAGAGAACCATGGGTATTCCAAGCTCTGAATTCAGGGTGGGTCATTCTATCTATATCACCTCCACCTTTATCTGCACAACCTGTTGCGTTGTCGCCTCCAACATATTCACGACAAGTGGAGTTTTCTTCCCAGGCTATAAGAAAGTTGTTAGTCAAAAGGGTAGTAGTAGAGGGTTGAATCAGTTCTTCCGGGATTTTATTCCCGTTTATTTGTTGTACTCAAGAAGACAGGAGATTGGCATCAAATCATCGATCTGTGTCGACTCAACTGATTTCTAAATCTGAGAAACTTCTGGAAAGATTCTGTTATGGGAATATGGACATAAGCATCTGTAACATCGAACTTGGTCATTCAGAGCCCTGAAACAAAGTGTCATTGTAGGTTGAGAAAGGATTCCATAATAAATCAAGGAGGATCTTGCAGTTTGGGGCTCTACCTTTTGGTCTTGAAGCAGTATCTTGTGTCTTTGGCAGACTTGTCAGAACTTTTTCTCGTCATCTACATTCCTTAGATCTGTACAAACACCATTATATGGATGGCTGGATTCTTCTGGCACCATCCTATTAAATAGCAGAACAACAGATTCTTCTTTCAGAAGCCACAAAAGTGGGCTTCCTTATCAGACTGGAGAAATCTATTCTGTCACCATACAAAATCTCGTTCATCTAGGTGTGTTTTTCAATACTCTTAAGCTGTGCTCAACCAACCCCTTTCAGGCTTTAAACCATGGAAAGAGCCATCAGGTTTTTACTTATCTCTCCTTCTCCTACTACACGGACGGTTCTCTCTCTGTTGGGGATGTGGGCATCCCTCGAGCCTCTCATTCCTTTGAATCACATAATCATGCTTTCCAATCCTTTAGATCATCCTGTCTCATTACTGGAGCAATATCTTTCGATTATGAGTGGGTGTTGGATTGGAACAACACTACTAATTGGAGTACCCATTCCACCACCTCATCCCGAGATCCATCTGTTCTCAGACGCATTTCTTCCGGGGTGGGAAACTTATCTTCAAGGTTAAGAGTTCCAGGGTATTTGGACAGAAGACAAGTCTACCTTTCATATCAATGTTCTCAACATTGTCTCATCCTCCTTTTGAGCCCTTAGTTTCTTGTTCTTTGTTTCACTTTTCTCTTAAATTGTACTTTTTGTTTTTCTTGGTTTGTGGATGTTGTCGGTTGGAGTTGTTTGCAATGCCTGTGCTTTGAACTCTTCATCATTCCACATTTTTCCTGCTTTACCCCAATAGGTCCTTTGTGTCCAAGACTTTGACAGCTGTGGAAGGGGGAAGATCTTTATTACCAATCCATTTTCCAGCCATTTCTCATCTTTATGACCACTCCAATCCTGACTGTTTGTTATGTCTTGTTAGGGCTGTCAAATGTTATGTAGCTCGTTCTAACTCATTTCGAGGTGGTAGGAATCAATTGTTCCTTCATTGGAATCTTTGTTTTTCCTGTTACTTATCTCCCATTACCCTAACGAGGTGGCTTTGTAAGTTGATTCACATGGCTTATAATGGATTATCGTTACAGGAAAGGAATCTTTTGCGTGTCATATCTCACCAGATTTGTCATATCTCTGTCAATAGCAACCTAAATGAATTGCCCTCTGGATGACATTGTGCAGACTGATATGTGGATTACACCTAATGTTTTCCTATCTCATTCTTTACATGATCTGGCAGTTTCCTCTTCTGAGGGATTTTGACTAATCTTTGTATCTCCTTTGACCACATTTGTTAAATTTTCATTAGAGGTGAACATTTTCCTCAATCATATAATCTTTTTTTTTTTGGTTTGCTTTTAAAAATGTAGGGTTCTTGGTTCACCTATTGCACAGTTTCCTAAGGGTTCCCCAACATGTATTACCCATCCCTGACTCTACTGGTGGAGCTTGGGAGTCCTTACCACCCCAGTTTCCAAGCACTGGGCTGATGGACAGAGGATTTTCCTCCAGAGTGTTTGAGTGTGTTCCTCCACTCTTGGAGAAGAGGGCTAAATTGGGGGCCCTCCTATTCGGGTCCCTGGATGTTTTTCCCAGATGTCAGTTGGAGTGGCACCAGCCTACTTGTAATTCTGGTTCAGATTTGACACGAAACTATCCAGTTGGCAGGTGCATGGCCCTTCTCTTTGATCAATGTCAGTTTCGTATATTGTTCATAGGAGGAGGTCCACCATCTCCTCATAATTCTGAACACGATGTGGTCCCATCCTAGGTTCTTGGTTGAGCACAGGTTCCACATCCTCTCCATAATTCAAGGGCAAGTGGAATACTCCTTGCCCACTTGGTTGAGGTGTGAGGATGAATCTTCATAATTTCAAACCAGTTCTGTTCTTTTAGTTGAGTATGACATGCACGATCCTGTCATCCCGAGCCTGGGGTGTTGCCTTTTGGACTTCTTCAGGTGGAGGAGAAAGTTTGTCCACTTCAGTGTTGCTTACTTTATCATTGTGATTCCAGTGGTGCGAAATGCATCACTTTGGCTACAAGTAGGGATCCAATCAAAAGTATATATATATATATATATATAGCCCTAGCCACCAATGTGGGTTATTGGTACCATGACACCTTAATTCCAACCCTGAGTTGTGGAACCTCTGCTATCTGGTTGGGGCTGGCCTATACTGACAATTACTTGTATTCTATTCCACATTTGCTACAGGAACTGAGTTCCTAGTGAAGAACATACCTGTTCTGAATGTAGTGTGGTTTCCCCACTCTTGTACCATCTTTATCTTGGAACACTTCTGTTATATACAGATGCTTTCTATATGGTTCATGCCTGCATTGGGCCCTCCACCTTCTCAATGTGGGTTTCTAGCTATAGTGTCAATGGATGTAAGTATGTTTTGGAAGTTAACATTTTCCTAAACTGAAAATGTAGTTCCAATAATACTTACCTCCACTGACACTATTGCACTACTTCCCCCACTTAAAGCCGGTTTATGTTCTCAAAAAAGTGATTACAGTATCTGAATGAGGTGCTTATATACAGTACCTAGATAGAGGGTGCATTGAAGTTGTTAGAGAATTTTGCAAATTAGAATTTGCCAAGGGCATTCGAGTGGGTTATAAAAGACTGGAACAAGCATTTTTCAATGCTCAGATGGGCAGAGAATGGAAACCCTGGAGATTGAGAAATAGCTATAGTGTCAGCAGAGATAAGTATTATTGGAAAATACATTTTCAGTTTAGGAAAATGTTAACTTTCAGAGTGAATAAGTGTCGCATGATGCAGAGAAGTGAAGATTGATAATTTAAATATTTCATTTTTAAATTAAATAAATTCATATTTATATAATATTAAAATTTGAATTATAAACTATTTTATGTTAATATGTTGGTATACATTAATAGTAAACTTGTAAATTTTGAGTATACTCTGTAAAAGGTTGTAACATGTGCACATTGACCCACTTGTCCTTGGAGGGTTAATATCAGTATACTGACTTGGGAATGAACTGTGAAATTAGTACACATAAGCTTATGTTAGGCAATAATGTTCTCATCACGGTCAAATGAGAACTGTGATTTTGAGCAGAGTCAGCTTGCATCAGTCCATCTAGATGAATGCTGAAGATTGTTAATCAGTGGAGTTTTTCTCACAAAAAAGCATCCAGTCACTATATCTTTGTGTATTACATAAAAACATTTTGATTGTAGCAGGTTTTATAAATTATATAAAGGAAAAAGTGTGTATGTATAAATGGGAAAGTATTGATACTGAAGAAAGACAAGTATATATGAAACATATTAAAAGAACAACATCAACTGTAATTGTGTGATGAAATATAAATAAAAAAGCATTTATTTTATTCTATTTTATGCATAACACTTATTCCCTAACCTACTTTAAGAAATTATGTATAGCCATGTCAAGTAGACTCACCACACAGTAACATAAGAGTTTGTCTAGCATCATCCACTTCTCAAGGCTTCTCCAAGACCAGATCAAATTTCACAGTAGGAGTTCTTGTATGTCATAATTTCCAAAGAAATTACTTCAGAAAATAAACAAACATGCAAAGAACCCCATTAAATTCATTTATTACGTTTCCTATGGCATAAACAAAACAGAACCATTAGTAACTTAAATTATTTCAAGCCATAAACATTGCATAGCTTTGAGTGCATTTGTGAAAGTGTTTAAAACATACAATCACATAAGGAAATAAGGGAGCTCTATGGCAAGTGCATTGTGAGAAATAAAATAGCTTTTGGACAATATACTTATAATTTGTTTGCCTAAGAAACTTGGAAGCTGTAAAAGAAAACATGAAGTTGAATTTTACATTTTTCACATCACCAACTTCAAAAATTCAATTTTCTCTCAATCTATTCTTGAAATAAAAATAAGCAATCAACTTGTACAAAATCTATGTTTTATCTGTGCAGGCAGTAAATTTAACAATTCCACTTTCTAGATAAATATTATAACAGTGGGAAATCTAAAATTAGTGCTAGCAGTTTGGATTTTAAAAAAATACTTTAAAGAATAAAATGTAATAAAACATATATAAAAAAATAATGTTTGATATCTCAATATTTCTGTTATAACCTTGTTTTATAGGTAATTTGAAACTTGATGTCACCATTTTGCCCCTGTAAAAACACGAGATATTGGGTTGTAAAAGATTAATACGTTAGATAGGTTTCTCAGTCCTTTGAATAGTAATTATATAGTAAATAAATAATTTAATAGAATATTGAAACCATGTTACATTTTCATTATTAGGTAAAACAAATGAAGACAAAGGATAAAAGGGTTAAAATGATGAATGAAATTCTTGGAGGAATCAAAGTCCTGAAGTTGTATGCCTGGGAAGAATCTTTCCAAAAACAGGTCAATGATACAAGAAATAAAGAAGTGCAAGATTTGAAGAAGATAGCATATTTAAATGCTGTTACTTCATTTCTTTGGAGCACAGCACCTTTTCTGGTAGGCCTCTTAACATAAAAAGTTTCCTGAGTGCTACTTTTGATGGAGTTGTAATGTGCTTTGTTCATTTTCTTTTGTGTGTTTCTCTATGATTTTAATGGACAGTTTGTCGGGGATTAATGTTATATATACACATACTACTTTAGGATTTCTTTTGAATATAGTTTAAATTTTTAGGAGGGCTGAATCTTTAGTTTGATTAGTTGTTCATTAATCTGGCATTTAGCTGGTGAATATTATACGTAATTAGTTTTAAAATATTAAGAGTTTTACACATATGCTGTTTATATTATTTATTATTATATCATTCTTTTTCAAAATATAATATGATGTTTATGTCCACCACAAGCTGAATGCCTGTCATATGACTAAAATTCTTTTCAAAATTATATCTAAATAAATGTTCTATGAATATGATTTATAAAAATTAATTATAATCTAGTAACAATATATGTATGGAGAATGACTATCCTATTTCTAGTATTTTATGAAAACAACATTTTTTATGTATATTTGATCAACTCCTGTATTACTCGATTAGTATTTTGACTACTGTATATTTTGAAGGTATGTTCAAACATTCTTCTTTATAAATCCTTATAGATTGAAACATGAAAAAACGTATTCTCAAAGACGTATTGCCATTTGGTCAACTGTATGACCCTGCAAATTATTAATTGTGATGGTAAAGGCAGTGAATTTTATTAAGTTTTGGGGTCTTCTCTTTAGACTGTCTTCCTGGTTTTGGCTTTGTTAGCTTGGTGAGCTGAAGAAGCACGCTTTAGTTTGGGCATTTTCAAAATTGAAATGTGCTGCAGGTAAAACGTGGGTTACTATAGAATTGTAGCTGAGAGTTTTGATTGGACAAAATATGGTGATGTTGCATCAGTGTGTCTCCTTGACAACCTAGCAAACATAATGGGGAATTTCAGACAATGATTATGATTTTTGTGTGCTAGCAATACCAAGCTTGGTGCACACATACACCTGATTTGATTTTATTAACCATCCTGATCTCTACCAATCTACCCTCAGATATAATTATATGCCCAAAGTAGTGCATTGACCAGTTGCGTATTGATCGGTACTGCAGTGGCCGAGATATTAGCATGACAGAGATGGATGGCTTTTTGTCTTTATATAGTAGGTTCATGTTTCATTGTGTAATTTTAAAAACTTTTTAATATTGAACCGTAGGAGATATAAGTTATCAAGATGAGCTGACAACAGCTAATACCTTTTTCTGGTTTGGGCTGGACAAGGCATAGTAGTCAGCGTGCTGGACTATGAATCTGAGGGTTTGTGTCATGTTACAGCAAAATCACCTCTGCACTTCAGGATCAAGGGTGTGTTATAAAAGTGATGGTCAAATCCCACTATTTGATTAGAGTAGCCCAAGAATTGACAGTGGATGCTGATGACTAGCTGCCTTCCGTCTAATCTATCAGTTCAAAATTAGAGATGGCTAGCTCAGATAATCTTTAAAAACATTCAAAACAACAACAAAAATTTGTGGTTTAATCCAATTTTTTTGATAGTTTCCAGCCTTCTTGAAGAATTTTCATTGTGTCTCATGGCTATGAATACAATTTAAAACCGTATAATATTTGACACATATTTATAGGTTTATAGCAGGAGAAATTAAGAGTATGTGAAAGTTGCCTATTTCAAGTTCATTTTTAGTAGAAACGTTTCACACTTGTTGTTTATTTGAATGTAATATATATAGGTTTATGTGTATCTGTCTCCTGTAGCCATTTTTTATTTTGAGTGGGTTGCGAGAATTGCTTAAATAATGTTTCTCTGAAGTTATGTGAAAATAATGAACAAGCTGCACTCAAGTTTGTATGCATATATTTTGTTGACATTGTTTATAACTGAATTAATGTTCTTTGCCCTCCTAGAATGTCTTCAAAATAATTAATTACATGGATGGGAACATGTTAATTCCATGTGCGGTTGTTCTGGCACCTACTGAATACCAAGTGAAAACTTATTAAAGAACCTAAATTTGTTTCCCCCCTTAAGTCTCTGAAAAGTAATATATATTAGTATCAGCAATTTATTTATGCTCTTTGTAATGCTGCTTGTTTTCCATAGTTAACATCATAAAATTATGACTTTTAAATATATACGCAAATTTGTTATTTTAGGTGGCACTAGCAAGTTTCACCGTTTATGTTCTGGTGGATCCTTATAATATTCTGGATGCCCAAAGAGCCTTTGTTTCCATTGCTTTATTTAACATTCTTCGATTTCCGATGATCATGCTTCCATCTTTGATCACAATGCTTGTTATGGTAAATATTAAAAAAATATGAAATGTTTCAACTGAAAAGATGGAAAGAATTGTTCTGCCTACATAAATTGTATGTCAGTATGTGGTCTATGTTTGTTTGTGTTACCATATGTGTTTGCTACAACCTGATTTGTCTTGTTATGTTTGAAACATCTGTGCTTTTGTTGCCATCAGGTAGCCCTGTGTTCATTTGGTGCGTATGTGCTTAGCTCCGAGGATCACGTTTTAGATGCACAACGAGCATTTGTAGCATTGTCTTTGTTTCAAATTCTGCGATTTCCACTTACATTGCTCCCCATGGTGATCTCAATGATGATCCAGGTAATGCATCTTGAGTGTGAAGTACAGAACATAATTTAGATAGAATCTTTATTGTGTACTAAAACCCGTAGTTTATTTTCTTTTCTTAATAGATTGCATGACTTATTAATTCATAGCTGTTGCTAACTTCAGAAACTGTTGCATAACTAAAGCTTTATTGTTTTACTTATAACTTGCATATTAAATTGTACTTCATTTGAAGTAACGATCATATTTTTGTATCTTGTATTTTAAATCTATAATATTTTTAATTTTACAATTTAAGCCTGAAAGAACAGGTAAAATAATTAATTCAAAAATTGTGGACACACTATTGGATTGAGAAAAAGTAGATAAACCAAGAGCCAGATGTTTTTGCTGCCACATGTCACACTTTGATGTACGTGTGTGTGTGTATGTGTATGTATGTATATATATATATATATAATGCTTACATTAGATTTCTTTCCATCACTGTTGTAGAGGCCAAATTTAAGTTACTAAATGGTAATGTAAAAAGGACTTTAAAACCCTCCTAAAAATTTCCTAAGATAAATAAATGAATTGCTCTGAAATTTTTGGATTTTGTTTCTTAATCCAGTATTTTAAACCAGTTTGTTATGAGAATGGAGAAGTGATAACAGCATGTTTTTACAAGCAGTTTTCTTCAAACTGGTGTGTCTGCACAATATTCAATATTTTGAAATCTTTGACAAACACAGCACACATAAAGCTAACTTTGAAATAGCCAATTCAGTTGGTGTAAACATTGCTTATAGTAATACTTAGTTATTTTCATGAGATAACTGTAACCTTACAAGAGGATCCATTTACAACAATAGTAAACTAACCGTTATAGAAAACACAATTCAGAGAAATTAAAGCATAAAGGAACCAACAAGGGTATAAGTTATTTTGCTGAAACAACAGTGCATTTAAGGATATTTTTATAACTGTTTGCATACCCAATAGTCATTGCCAATTAGAGCAAAGTTTCAGTTATATATATAAAAACTTACTTGTTCCTATCATCCAGATTTGCATTTGTACTTTGTGTGTCTTAGCCTTATCCTGATTTTTAGTTAGTGATACAATATGGTGTTGTATTTTCTTCTTTCATATGTATGCTTTAATGATGATGAAGGTCTTGTGCTGGTATGATGCCATCTGTGTTTGTTTTGTTTGTTAAGCTTGACCAAGTGGTCTTGTGTGTGTCTCTGGGCTTTTGCTGTGTTCTGCTTTAATTTTTGTCTTGCTCTTTTCAAGATCTTTACTAATATACAAACTAACTTAAAAATGTGAGGTACATTTCTTGTGAATAAAAAAATTGTTATTTAAGAGTGTTAAAAATAAATACACTTGGTAATTAATTATATTTATGTTTTAATAAAGTTTATGAAGTGGATTATTTATAACATTGTGATAAACTACCTATGACTTATTCTGGTTTTGATTATGATGGATAATAAAAATGTACTATAAGGAATGTCTTTTTGTGTTCTACTACAACATTAGATAAATTCTGAGGATTTGTCACATAGAGAAAACTGTAATTCGTATTTTTAAGCATTTAAATATATGTTACTACAAAGGAGTAATAATTCATATGTCAGAAACTTTTGGTAAATCATACATTTTTGTTTTTAAGGCATAGTTAGAGCTATAAGCATTTCATAATTACTCTAAAAATAAATGTGCTTTATAGATTACTTGAGTAACTGAGAACTAAAATAATATTCAGATATTTTGAGCCCCTAGTGGAGAAGTTGTAAGTCTGAAGGCTTACAATGCTAAAAGCCAAATTTTGATACTCGTAGTGGGCACAGCACAGGTAGCTCATTGTGTCGTTTTCTACTTAACAATGAGTGACAGGGTAGGGTGCTTGACTCGCAATCTGAAGATTATGGGTTTGAATCCCCATCCCACCAAACATGTTCGCCCTTTCAGCTGTAGGGGCATTATAATGTGATGGTTCGTTGTTAAAAGAGTAGCCCAAGAGTTGGCAGTTGGTGGTGATGACTAGCTGCCTTCCCTCTAGTCTTTCACTATTAATTAGGGACAGTTAATGCAGATAGCCCTCATGTAGCTTTGTGCAAAGTTCAAAACAAACCAAATGAATGAGTAATAGTGAAAGAACAGATATTTTGAAAAGTCTTGCAACAAATGTGTTTAGAACCTCTATTGAATTTAATATTAACCAATGTAATTCTTTTTATATCTTTTAAAAAAGATATAATATATGCACTTATAAAAAGAAGCAAATACCAAATTGTTTACAGTTTGGTAACATCTAAAGAGAGTTAAAATACCAGTGTGTGAATTTATGGGTTTATGGTTAACATACCATTTTCATTCCTTCTAACTCAAATGTGCATGTTTGGGGCCATGGGTGCATTATAAGAGTGATGTTCAAATTTCATTATTTGACTTGAGAAGCCCAAAGGTTGGCAGTGGGTGCTGTTTACAAACTGTCTTTCCTCTAATCTATGATTTCAAAATTAGGGATGGTTAATGCAGATAGCCTCTTGTATAGCCTTACACAAACATTCTTAACAAACAAATAAATGTTTCGTCTCCATTTCAACCTAAAAGACATGATTGTTTGCTTGCTTGTTCTTATCACTTGTTCAGCAGTATGATAATTTATACAAACTAAAGAACAAAAAAAATGTTAAATTCTGCATAGTAACATAAGTATTAAAATTCATTATGTTATTTTGAATTACTACCTACAAGAGTACTGTAGACATTTTATAAGGATCGGATATGGTCATTTAGAATTGTGAGTTCAGGAGAGTACATGAAGTATAAATGTAACAACAAACCATTCTGTTCAGATTTTACAACCAATGTACTGAAATGTACTTAATACTTAAATTTACTCCTCGGGAGGACTTTTAACACTGATAATCATATTTTAGTCCCACTGGTAGGTACAGCACAGGTAGCCTATTCATAAATTTAGAATTAGGAAGTTAATAAAAAAAAAAATAGAGCAAATAAAGTGTAGAATGAGGTTACATATTTCAAGTGAAAACATAAACTAGGACTAGTGTTCAGGTTGTAATACTTTTTGTGTCAGATGATAGAGTAGTTTCAAAGAAAAGAATGTAAAAGTTTTTATCTTTCCATGAATACATAGTCACTAAAAAAAAAGAATAAACATTTTAAGAAAAGCAAGACATTTGGTCTAATGTTGTGTGTGTGTACTCTAGGCCAGTGTGTCTGTCAAAAGGATGAATAAATATATAAGAAGTGAAGAACTGGATCCTTATGTTAGTCATGATGATCATGAAGGTAAGTAGTAAGATTTGTTAAATCAAGTAAATTTGGTTATTTTAAATTATTGATATTTTTTTTTATAAAACCAGTATTTTTCTACAAAACTGCAAACAGCTTCTATTAATCTTAAAACTATTTTCCAATATTATAATCGTATAATGTGCACATTCACAATCAATTGTTTCTCCTCTTGAAACATTGAATAGTCTGAAAGCTATATTTTATTTCCTGTGGGAAAATAATTCACATTACTAAAATAAAGCTTTTTATTTTGACTTAGCAGTAAGAATGAACATCTCTTATGTTAACAAATTGTTACAAGTCTTAGACTAATGAGGCTTATCATTATAAGGTTTCCATTCTTTAATGATGTGATTGAACCTGTAAAGATAAAGCATCGTTTTAAGTTTTACAAGATAATTCATTCTTATTCAGTAGTTTAAAATACACAGCAATGTATGTTAGCTAATCTAATGAAAAAAATCTCCACTTTTGGAATAAAATACTAGTACAAAGATTGGGAAACTAGCTTTGACATTTGCAGTTGTACATAGTCTTCTGTGAAGAAATTTGCGCACACAGCTATCACTTTGGTTTCTTTGTTCCTGGGATGTACCTTGTTAGGTTGCCTTACTTTTTTTTTACCTTCATCAATCTTTGCTCCAGGACCATTTCGAGCATCTGGTCTCCAGGGGTGAAGTTTCTTTGTCTCTGCATCCTCAAGCTGATAGATACTTTGTAAGCTTGACATCATCTTCCATCTGTTTCTACTTATAACAATCCATTCAGAAACCTCTGTTGTTTCTGCTATTCCCCTGACAGGGAGGCACTTGCTCCCAGGACCTCTGTTTTCTTGTTTTGGACATTCTTTGTTGTTCCCTCAACCACCATGTTTAATTGTTGGTCTGTTATGACTCAAAAGCTCGGGTCCTTGTGGTGGAGCGACTATTTCACCTAGACTTGGACCCCTCCCAGAAAGTGTTTTCTCCATCCTCTGGTGTTTTCAGTGAACTTGCTCACACTGTGGGTGTCCTATTATCCATGCCTTTTCGTCTTCCCTCCACTCCTTACTTCCTTTCATTTGGTATCCAATCCCAGACTCTGTAATTCTAGCTGAGGATGCTTTGTGTGTTAAGTGGCTCAATCTCCTTTTATATGCTTTGGACATATTTCTTCGCCTTCATCCTTGCAGGAACTTTCACTCATATTTGTCTTGGCTACTTTCTGCACTATTTACCACAGGGATAGGTTAACTTTTTTTCATGACCACCTCAAAATTTGGGTGGCTTAGGAGGGTGATTGAATTTTTCTATATTCATCATCCTTTCTATTTCTTCCCTGTAAAGTCATTTCTGACCCAGATTCTCTCTTTTTCTGTATGGACTATTCATTATTATTTCACTTGTACTGCCCCATTTTAGGGCACTTGCCAACATCTTTTCTTGCTGTGGGATTTCTCTTTCTTTAGTAACTTATCTTCTTCTACTTTGCCCAGTTGAGTTATGCATCTTATCTAGCTAGTTACTTCTTCTGTGGATGATGACCCTTTTTTATTTTTCATGTGTCCACCCCATAATGTTTGCCATCTTCCTGTTTCTTTTGCCTTTGATGTCCCCTGTATGAAATCTTGCAGGCAGGATGTAAAAGACCCTCAACTTATTACTTACAATACAGGGAGGTTTCGCCTACCCTGGCTTTTGTCTCCCTCTAGTTGCCTTTCTCAAATCTTTACAGTGGCTCTGATGGTGAGTAATGTGTATTTTTCTACTTTCTTTTTCAGGATTCACAACCACCTTTTTATGTGTGTGTATATATTTTGGAGATGATAGAACCTTCTGAGTGACTGGTGTTGCCTCGCAGGAAATACATACCAAAATCCATATCAACCCCATCCACCCCTGTTATTAAGATGGGGTTTTCCACAAGACTGTTTTGGCAGTGACTATATATTTTACCTTCCAAGTCATTTTGCACTTTTGTAAAAGGAAAAAGAGAAAAATTGTCCTCATGTCACTCTTATTGTGGGATCTAATTCCAGATGATTGTGTCTGATGACAATGTCCAAGCATCTCTCCAGTGTTCTCCCACACGCAGATTCCTCCCTCCCCAATTCTTCTAGTGAAGTATGGAAGAACCTTTGCTTCCTCAGTCCAAAGCTGCTAAGGAAGTTGATGTGGAGAATTCCTCATTAGGCAGTGCAATCCCACTAGTGTAAGAGTGAGTGAATGTACCTCTCATTTGAGTAGTTGGTTGGGGTGTTTCCTGATAGTGTAGTACAAGACACCCCTCTGTGCTTTGAACCAAGCAATTCCTATAGGCTAGGTCTGGCCATATGATTCTTGGGTTTGCCTTGGAACTTGGGTCTGAAATGCTTCTCCCTGCATCTGATTTATTGTGATGAGTATTTCTCCTACATGGAAAGGCCTGTCTTGTAGTCCTAGCTGCATTACACACTCGTGCTCAGTTGCCCACCTTAGCAACACTTTAGCAATGTAGAAAATATTCTTGTGGTATTTTTATTGCTCTACCATCTCTTCTAACAATGAATACCACAGTAACATTGTATGAACAGTATTCCCTGCTTGAGATGGATGTGGTATCCCACCAAGTGCTGCCTCACTAGGCTACTCTTGCCTTGTAAATGTCACACTGTATGGGCTGTCCCTTCCTTATGCTGATAGATACTGACCTGACAGCTTATATATATAAATTCTATTCACAGCCTAACTGTATAATTATGTCTATACAAATAGCAGCCAAGTGTCACGAAATAAACTTTGTAACAATATCATAAAATTTTTGATTATGTAGGTACAAACAGAATTAAAAATATAAGTATCGGATATCAGTAGAAAATCCTAAAATTGTCTTATATTAATTTTTTTAACTAAACAACTCAAACACACAAAAAATTGTAGTTTATGTGAGTTTGCAGGTTTGTTTTAACTTGTAATATAAACAGTGTGCATGATAGTGTTTATGCATAATAATTGTATATTACTAACTAAGTAAATAAGACAGAAATTTCATTACACACAAAGCTTGCATACAGTGGCGTGCAGAGGTTCTATGATGCCCGGGGCCTTGTACCTAAGACCTTGGGGAAGGGCGGAAAGGGTTCTACTATTCGAATCGACTCTTTGCATTGGATGCCCTCCCCCCCCTGCACGCTACTGCTTGCATATCATAGAGGAAGTAAGTCAGTCAAGTAGCACCTGTTTTGAGTTACTGATTAAAATTTAAATGAGATTATAAAGGATTGAGTGTGTTTTATGGATGACCAATGCTTAATACATTAAAATTCAATAAGGTACATGTACCTAAAGTTAAAATGTGGTTGAAATTTAGTTGTGTAAAGATAATGTATTTTTGTATATTGCTGAAAGATGGTTGTTTTTATTAGAATTCCTTTTTGTGTTTACTGTTTTTTATTGTGTTTTGTTTTCTGTATGTATCACTACAAATAGACTGGCTGTTCCTCGTAGAACATAGGCAGGTATTTAGTAACTTGTATTGTACAACTGAAAGTTTGTTATACCGTTATTATTTGCCAATCCAGTTGATCCTATCGTAATTGAACATGGAACTTTCACATGGAGCCGTGATGAAGCCCCTGTATTAAAGGACATTAACTTGCGTATCCATCAGGGTATGTTGGTTGCGGTTGTGGGCCAAGTAGGTGCAGGAAAGTCTTCTTTATTGTCTGCACTTCTTGGTGACATGGAGAAGTTAGAAGGTCTAGTCAATGTAAAAGTAAGGACAGTTGGTATAACAGTTATTTATATTCATTTTAAAGCACGTTATTTTCAGGTCTAACAAGTGATTGTAATTTTTTTTTGACCAGTTCAAAAATAGTTACTTTGCTGGTGTATCAAGTAATAGTATTGGTATATGTGAAGTTACTTAGCTTCTCATCACATATGTCATTTTTTAAAAAATTACATGTTTGAACTTTGTGTGAGTAAAGATCTCTGTGTAAAACCATGTATGTTAATGTTATATTTTCATTATTTTACAGCATTTTTGTTTTGGTAAGTTTTTGACTTAAGTACTGTTAAGTAGAGTAATATTAATTTTTTTTTATTAACATTTTTGTAATCATGCACATCTTCAATACCTTTGAAATAACATCACTGTTCCTCAGGGTGATTGTTTGCCTGTGTGTAGGTGAGTTTACAAATCTTTGACTTATAGTGCTCAAATAACTAGTATTTTTATTTACAAGGCATTACTCTAATTGAAGTAGCTGTATTTGTGATCTACAAAAGTGTGTGAGAACGTTATCATATTTGCTATTAACCTAAAATGCTTAGAGATCTTGATGATATAATTAGTAAGATTTATCAAAGTATTTCCTGGCAAATGAAGAATATTTACATTCAGTCCCTCATCTGTGAATCTGTAGAAGTGTAGTAGCCCAAAATCAAAGTACTGTATTGCATCAGTAAAAACTTTTCAGTTACTGGTCATCTTAGTATCCAAAATCTTCACTTCACTTCTGGTGTATACTTTATCAAATATTCAGTGATTCATTTAGTTCATTGTTTATGTATTGGTAAATGATATGGTTTGAATTGATTTGATTTGGGTACTTGAAAATTTTAAAAAGTCGGGTTCATTTCAGTGAATTCCATATTTGATGCATCACTAATGAACTGAAAAAATAAATTTTCAAAATTATTGTTTTGTGTAATCTCTATACTGCCTTGTCAAGACATTGAAACTTGTAAAGTAAATACATTAAGTCAAAATTTATTATAGACACAAACTTGTAAGGAATGGTAGGAGATAAAAACAACAAAAATATATAATACTTAACTTGCTTGTCAGACTTATTAGAAATGTTTTACCCAAATATAACTTACAAAGGCAATAAACTAAGTTTCTTTATTTTCTTTAAAAAAATGTACTGAAGAACACCACAAACAGAAACTGCTTAAATAAAGAAAGTAATGTGTCTTTTACTAATTTAAAAAATTCTTAGAAATTGAAAACAGTTTCACTAATTCTAGCTATAGCTACATTCACTGAAAATATTTTTATCAATTTCAAATCTTGAAAACGTTAAATATGGGTATTTTTACATCGTTTTTCTTACTGATAAATGTATATCACAAATGAAAGCATTATATTCAGTGAAGTAAAGGTTTTCTTAAAAAGGTGCCACTAACAAAAAAAAGTACTTAAAGTGGTAGATTAGTCTACAACTAGTTTATAAAACATTCTTCAAAGTTTTCATATAGATACAGCCAAGTGGTCAGTATGCTAGACTGTGGATGACCTGAGGGTCCTTGATTCATGTCCCCTTACCAAAAACAAAGATGTGTTCCACATTTTAGGGTCATGGATCTGTTATAAAAAGTGATGGTTAAATTCCAGTATTTGATTAACAGTAACAAGAGTAGGTGGTGGGTGCTGCTGTCTAGTCTATCAGTTCAAAGTTTGGGATGGTTAGTGCATATCTTCCTTTAATAGCTTAGTGTGAATATCCAGTATTAACAAACATATAGATACTTCAAGCCTAATTAACGTTCAACTTATATAAAAGTTATTTTTAGAACCATCTTTTCGTAAGGTAAATAATATTATAAAATAACTGAGATAACTAAGCAGGCCTACAAAATTTGGAAAAGTTAAGATCAAAGTTACTTGTCCTTAATAAATGATATACTTTTTAGATAAAAGGAGAAGTGAGTGATATATATCTTGTATTTGAAGATTGACACAATATTCAGTTAGGCTACAGTTAGTTGTATCAATGACTGTAGTTGTAGCTTGGGTAGAGGATGAAATTTATTTTAATGAGTGAATCAGAATTTCAGTGTTTCCATGACAAGTATGTCATACACATATATATGTTTGGACTGAAATGTTTAGAGAACATTTCATCGTTATCAGCAGGTTAAATATTTACCAGACAGGTCTTGTATCTTGATAACATGTCCAAATTTAAAATTTACCTTTTCCAGCAGTTGGGCATATACTAATGCTGAATCCAGGAAAATAAGTTCCAGTGTATTTGTTCTGTTTGGACTAGGGTTCAGTTGCATACGTGCCCCAGCAAGCCTGGATCCAGAATGCTACAGTAAAGGATAATATTCTGTTCGCTCAACCCTTGAATGCTAAACTATATAAAGAGGCAATTGAAACGTGTGCTCTTCAATCTGATCTTGACATTTTACCAGGTGGTGACCTTACAGAAATAGGAGAAAAGGTTCGTTTATATTTCAGATGTACTGCAAAATTTCATTGTGAAACGTAGCAATCAGTGATTTTTATCTGTTTTAAAGAAATAAGGGACTGGTATTTACACACACACACACACACACACACACACACACACACATATATATATATATATATATATATATATATATATACTACTCTCGTACGTACGTACGGACGGTACGGTACGGTACGGTACGTACGACGACGACGACGTACGTACGTGTCGTACATACTATAGTAGTAAGGAAAGGTAA